GAAAGCCCCCCCCCCCCCCGCAATCTCTACTAAAATAAATTTTAAAAAAGATAGATGGGTAACTACCTGCAGTCTCAGCTACTAGGAAGACTGGGGAGGAAGGATCACTTGAGCCCAGGAGTCCGAGGCTGCAGTGAGCTATGATTACACCACTAGGCTCCAGCCTAGGTGACAGAGGGAGACCCTGTGTCTTAAAAAAAATTATCTTGTTTACCTCCGTATTTCCAGCACCTAACACACAATAGTGTTATCAGATGGATGAATAGATGGATGGATGGATGGGTAGTGGATGGATGGATGGATGGAGGGATAGATGGTGGATGGCTGGCTGGCTGGCTGGCTGGTGGACAGACGGCTGGGTGGATTATGGATGGATGAATTTCTTTATGATAATGAACCGCTTCAGACCAAATCAATGAATAAATGAACGAAATACTCATGGTTCCAACAATGGCCCCGTAAGTGCCTTACACTCCCCCTACCACTGCAAGAATCAGGGTAAGACATCTGCAAGACTCACCTCATTCCTTCCGAAGCCATCTTATCAAGGTTGGCGGTGTCCTTTGTTTCTGCCCAGTTTGCTCCCAGGTCACCCCACCCCATGTCATCAGCCAAAATGATCACAAAATTTGGTTTCTGGCCTCTTGCTTTTCCACTGATGCAAAAATCCACCAGAGGATAAAGACATCCTAAGAAGCTCACTCCCACCAACATAACCTTTAGTAAAAGCCAGCCCATGGCGGTGAAGGAAGGATTTCAATTATCTGGAGCGGGTGGCCACAACCAGAGACTTCTCCGAGAGCTTCCGTCCGCTCGCTGTCAGTGCAGGAATCTCTGGGGAGCTGGGGTGCGTCTGCAAGAAGAGGCCGGTGGCAGTGGTGGGAGCAGTGGTGACGACCAGAGATGGTGGGGTCTACAGAAATGAAGCCCCATCTAGAATCCTAACTCAAGAGTCAAGAATCTTGCAGCCCCTAGTTTGGCTTAATCCTCCATCGGCCACGTTCCCCCACCACAGCTTGGTCAGGTGACTGTGTTAAGAGCTAGATGTCAGTGTCAGCGGTGACTCTTTGGTTCCTTAGAATGTGTCCCCTCTGAGTTCAGAGGTCAGAGCCACAGCACAAGCCTTGCATCTGTTTGGGACTCCATCTGGTAACTACAGGATGAACTCCTGCATCTGCAGATCACCTGGATGTCCTAGAAGCCGCGGTCAGCCCCCATGAGTTTCTGAGTTCCAGATGGTTGAAGGCTTCATGTTTCTGTGAGGTTTCCTGAAAGAACAAAAATTAACAAGAAAACAGAGTCAAAACGGCCAGAGCAGCTGTGTTTTACTCAGTAGCTTAGGAAATAATCACTTTTCCATGCCAACAGATGTTTTCCTTTTTATTTGAATATTTAACTGGTTCATCAGTTTCTCCACCTGAAAAATAGTGATGATAATAATATTTGCAACGGACCTATAGTTACAGGCTTGGAGGGAACAATGGAAATCATCTCTCTCAGTTCATTCACTGTTCAGAAGGATGTCAAGGTCTAGTCTTCTGGGCAGGACAAGGACCAGCCCCCAGCTCTAACTCCTGGTGTCTACCCCTACCCCCATGATTCTCAGATTCACTAAAAAGTCCCCAAATAAGCCGGGCTCGGTAGCTCAGCCTGTAATCCCACGCTTTGGGAGGCTGAGGGGAGTGGATTGCCTGAGCCTGCGGGCTCGAGACCCGCCTGGGCAACTTGGCGAGACCTCATCTCTACAATAAATCAAAAAATTAGCCAGGTGAGGTAGCACGTGCCTGTAGTTCCAGCTACTTGGAAGGCTGAGGTGGAAGGATCGCTGGAGCCCAGCAGTCAAGGCTGCGGTGGCCGGGAGCGGCCACTGCACTCCAGTCTGGGCGACAGAGTGAGACTCCAACTCAAAAAAAAAAAAATATTCCCCAAATAATGGTGACCTCATCAAGCCCACTGAGAACTCCAGAAGAAACAGTGAGACCTTTAGTACCAAGATATGAATATTTACCACAGTCATGCTATAACCTAACATTTCTACATTAAAAAAAAAAAATTTTTGTCTTGAGATGGGGTCTCGCTGTGTTGCCCAGACTGGTCTCAAATCCTTGGGTTCAAGCAATCCTCCTGCCTCAGCCTTCCAAGTAGCTGGTATTACACGCACATTCCACCATGCTCGACTAAAATAAAAATTAATTTGGAGAAAAAGGAAATGTCAAAAAGAAAAAAATCATGGAATCTAGGCAAAGGAGATTTTTCAATGTTGCTGTATGTTTGTACTTTTCATAACAAATGTTAGAAAAAAATTTTTTTTTTTTTTTTTTTTAATGAATTGTGTCTCTTTACATCCTGACCATGTAAATTTTTTGGGGGGCAGGGAGGGAACTTACTCTGACACCTAGGCTGAATCATAGTTCATTGCAGCCTCCAACTCCTAAGCTTGTGATCCTCTTGACTCAGCCTCCCAAGCAGCTGGGACTACAGGCTCATACCACCCCATCCAGCTAATTTTCTTTATTTTTTTGTAGAGAAAAACTGTTTCTGTGTTGCTTGGGCTGGACTTAAACCCCTGGCCTCAAGCGATCCTCGAGCCTCGGCCACTCAAAATGCTGGAATTACAGGCGTGGGCCACCACACCCAGCCATTACCATGTACTTTTTAATTAAAAAATCTAAAGACATGCTCAACCTGTGCTTCTAACACTTTGAGGTACAAATTAATCAGCTGGGGCTTTTATGTTTATTGAAATGCAGATTAAGTAGGGAAGGCTGGGCCCGGGGGCTGTATTTCTAATAAGCCTGAGTGAGGGCTCTGGAAACAAAAACATCAATAGTCTAGCACTAGAAGAAAAAGGAAACTGCTGAACCTCAGGGATGACTCCATTTCAGCGGACAAACAAATGCAACACATCAGGCTGAGTTTTGAAAGACAGGAACTGAAGGTTAGACTTGAAACTGCGGGCTGCCAACGGAGCTGAGAATAAAACTCTATCACCCTTAGGTCACCTCAAAGCCCTCAGTGTTCAAGTTCGGTAAGGAGTAAGTAAGCAAGACTCGACCTTCTGGACCAAGCCAAAACTTCATCTGAACACCCAACCCAGGGAGCGATGAGAGGACAACCCATCTGTGGTACAGGAAGATGCCACCAGGCTGAGGCTAGGACAGAAGCTCTTCTCGGTTGTGCATCCTGCAGCCTGAGCGATCAGCCCGAGCGCATAGGGTGGCTGGAGCTGTGCAAATTCTGGAAGACCTAGATAAAGTCGGAAGGATGGGCAGAGACGTGCTTAATCAAAATAAAAGGAAGTCCAAGGAAGCGGTCATCTGGAGGCCAATGAATCACTTGTTCAGAAATGAAAATTCTTCCGCTTCCCAAAAGGATACTTCAAACTCAATTAGATTCAACTGGTGTTTGTTGATCTTGAGGCCCCAAAGACTTCTCCCTTTCTAGAAGAAAGAGCCTTTGCACAAGGAGGTGCTTAGCAAACACTTGCTGACTGGCTGGTGGATGCGCAGCAACTCGTTTCACAGGCTTCTGACGCGAGCGGGTCTCAAAGCCACCTAGCTTAGAACACCAAGAGTGCCCTCTTTCCTGGAATGAACGGATGTGTGACACTTCAGGGAGAAAAAGTCACTTCAGAAAGAAGCTAAAAGCAAGGCGGGAACTTAAACAGATTGTGTTTCTTGTGATAACCCATTCCTTTAGGATTTTCAAAGAGAATTATTAACGCTTACAGTTTTCATAGAATGGAAATAGGCTAATTCAGCAACACAGCACTGCATGATTCTTCACACCCACACCTCCATGGAGAACTTCAATCTCCCCACCGCCCTCTTTGCTTTAACGAAAGGGAAAAGGCAAACTAGACATTTAAAGAATGGACTTCCAGGCCTGGTGCCATGATGCATGCCGTTAAGTCCTGCTCTTTGGGAGGCCAAGGTGACAGAGGATTGCCCGAGCCCAGGAGTTTGTGACCAGACTAGACAACATAGAGAGACCTCATCTCTACAGTAAATCAAAAACTTAGCCAGGTGTGGTGGTGAGCGCCTGTAGTTCCAGCTACTTGGAAAGCAGAGGCGGAAGGATCTCCTGAACCCAGCAGGTCGAGGCTGCAGCGGCCATGACTGTGCCACAGCACTCCAGCCTGGGTGACAGAGACCCCAACTCAAAATAAAAAAAATAAAGGAATGGTACAAACTTTGAGTAAGAGCCAAACTCAAACTCTGAGCTCAGATGCTCTAAAGACTGGTCCCCAGGAGTGCAAGACCAGCCTGGGCAACACAGTGAGACCCCATCTCTAAAAAAATAAAATTAAGTTGGCCACTTATTAGTATGAGAAAAAGAAAGGAAGGGAGGGAAGGAGGGAGGGAGGGAGGGACAGAAGGAATGAGAGAAGGAAGAAGAGACGGGAGGGAGAGAGAGAGAGAAGGAAACTGGCCCCACCGTCTCCCAAAGGAGAGTAGGCCAGACACGGGCAGGGAACACTCCTCCCGGCTGTGAGGACAGGGGGAGTCTGGCTGGACGCAGCAGCCTCCCTGGACACATCTCACGGCCAAGTCCCGCCAGGCATGACTGCCTGTGATAGGTCCCTGCGAGCACCAGCACGAGCAGCTCCGCCTCCTCGATGCTCCGGCGCTCAGCTTTACCAGCGACTCCCAGTCTCCCCCACAGCCCCCATTTCACAGCAGGGCGGCCCAGTCTGCTCCGTCCAAGCTCCCCCCAGTGTCCAGGCCCCGCTATGGGAGCCGTCAAGCGAGCAGCAGGCGGGCCGCGGGCCGAAGGGCTGGGAAACACACGGGACAAGGCAGCCCGAAGACCCTGCCCAGCACATGAGTGGCCCAGAGCCGCAGCCCCTGGGCTCCCTGGCCGCTGCTGGCTCCGTCACCTGACCCTGGCTCCCTGCGGGCTGCCCTGCGGCCAAGCATCCTCCTTGAAACGCCGACAACAGCTGAAATAACAAGGCCGCCAGCCCTTTCTGGCAGAGGGCTCTGCTGGCTTGGAGGCCAGAACAGACGGAGGATGGGGGCGTGGGTCTCTGGTGGCAGAGCACGGTTGTTACGTCTCTGAAATCAGAACACAATCCGTGTGCTGGTTGGAGGCCAGGAGTCCCTCGGGGTCACCCCCAGGGGCACCAGTTGCCACGTGGAGTCTGAAGTGGTTCCCCTCCGCGTCGGGTCATCGGTCCACCGATGAGTACTGAGCGACAGGTTTTTCCGTTTCGTTTTGTTTTTTGAGTCGGGGTCTCACTCTGTCGCCCAGGCTGGAGTGCGGTGGCACAGTTGCGGCCGCCTCCACATCCTGGGCTCAGGTCATCCTTCCTCCTCAACCTCCCAAGCAATTGGGACCACAGGTGCATGCCACCATGCCCAGAGAATTTATTATTATTCGAGTAGATGAGATCTCAGGGCCCCTCCTCTGCCCTCAGACCCCAACTTAGAAAGACTGTTCTCTCAGAGTGTGGGCACGGACGGGATGCAGAGGACCTCTCTGGCCGAACACGTCCATCCAGGCTGAGACACTCACAGCACTTGGGTCATTAAAATGACTTGTAAAAAAAAAAGTGTGGTGACCTCAAGTTTGCATGCTGCTGTGGGGATGATCACCCGGTGAACCCAGCGACGCCAGGAAACCTATCTGCAGAGGGCACACGACCTCCTGCCCAGTTTCGGGCTGGAACCACCCACTGAGCCCGACAAGAAGGAAGCCATGCTGCACGGGCTGATTTGCCATGTCTCGCATCAAAAACCCAGGAGCCCCGTGGAAACGAGGGCTGGGCCCTAGGGCAGGTCAGAAAAGCAGAGGGAGCGGATGGAGCTCTGAATGACATCTTCTCTCTAAAATTCTACCCTTCACTTGAGAAGAAAAATCCTGAGGGGTGTGGTCAAG